CAGCATCATAGGAGCAGAAAGGCTGACGTTTCGGGCCTGGACCCTTCGTCAGAAAAGCCTTTTCTGACAAAGGGTCTAGGCCCGAAACTTCAGCCTTTCTGCTCCTATGATGCTGCTTGGCCTGCTGTGTTCATCCAGCCCTGCACCTTGTTGTCACTGTCCAATATCAGTTGTACAACAGACATACGAGTAAGGCACCAGATTATGCTTAACATTTAGCATTTAGTCATGTAACAAAGAGGTCACTCTCTTCAGAAAAGGAAGATGATTAATGGTGAAAAACAGAGTTAAACAAAACGAACCTCCACAACTTAAAGAAAGGAGAACACACAAATCAACCCTGGAGTTTAATGCGGAAAAGTGTGAGGTGATTCACTTTGGAAGGAGTAACAGGAATACAGAGTACTGGGCTAATGCTAAGATTCTTGGTAGTGTGGATGAGCAGAAAGATCTCGGTGTCCATGTGCATAGATCACTGAAAGTTGCCACCCAGGTTGATAGCGTTGTTAAGAAGGCGTACAGTATGCTAGGTTTTATTGGTAGAGGGATTGAGTTTCAGAGCCATGAGGTCATGTTGCAGCTGTACAAAACTCTGGTGCGGCCGCACTTGGAGTATTGCGTACAGTTCTGGTCACCGCATTATAGGAAGGATGTGGAAGCATTGGAAAGGGTGCAGAGGAGATTTACCAGGATGTTGCCTGGTATGGAGGGAAGGTCTTATGAGGAAAGGCTGAGGTTCTTGAGGCTGTTTTCGTTAGAGAGAAGAAGGTTAAGAGGTGACTTGATAGAGACAAACAAGATGATCAGAGGATTAGATAGGGTGGACAGTGGGAGCCTTTTTCCTCGGATGGTGATGGCTAGCACGAGGGGACATAGCTTTAAATTGAGGGGTGATAGATATAGGACAGATGTCAGAGGTAGGTTCTTTACTCAGAGAGTAGTAAGGGCGTGGAATGCCCTGCCTGCAAAAATAGTAGACTCGCCCACTTTAAGGGCATTTAAATGGTCATTGGATAAACATATGGATGATAATGGAATAGTTTAGGTTAGATGGGCTTCAGATCGGTTTCACCGGTCGGCGCAACATTGAGGGCCGAAGGGCCTGTACTGCGCTGTAATGTTCTATGTTCTATGTTCTATGTTCTAAAATATTACTCACTTACCAGGTATAACAGGCTGATTTTACTTGGTCACCAGGAAAATATTCCTGTCCCTTCCACAGGCAGGGGCATTCATTAGGCTTGAAGCATTCATCTTCATGTTTCACAAGACTGGTAAAAAGTGTGAAATATGAAATAAAACAGTTTTTTATAGATTAATGACATTTTGTGAAAATAAAATGGTGTTAACCTAATTGTCCCTCATGCGTAAAGTTATATTTCCATTCAGTTGAATCCTAAGTATACCAATATAAACATGAATAATGCTGAAACATAGTGTTGGATATTTCGTGCCCCTCCAGTGGGGTGTCTTTGGCAGAGGTGGGTTGGGGTGGGTTGAAGAGGGGCACGTGATATAGGTTGGTGTCCAAATCATTACCATTTCACCCATGCTTGATCTTACCTTAGATCGTGGAAGGGCACCTGAAGCAGCAGCTCAACCACCACAAGTCAATAAAGAACTAAGGGTCAATTCAGCTTGTTAAAAGCTCAACCAACCCCGATGTTATGTTGCCTGTGTTATAAAATAATTGGTATGTACAATACCTGAAACAAATAGAATGCTGGAGAAACGCAGTAAGTCCGACAGCATCTGCGGAGAGAGAAACAGATTAAACATTTCAAGTCACACTGGACCCATAAAGCTAACTCTGTTTCTCTCTTCACAGATGCTGTCAGACATGTTGAGTTTCTACAGCATTCTCTAGTTGGCATGTGCAAGCAAGCAGGAGTGGACATTTCCCCTCTTTAACATAAAAAATGTTTCTAACAGTGTGAAAAATGGAACGGCTTTCTTTAGGGTTGTGTCATTTGCCTATCAAAGATACCCTCTGTTAAAAACATACCCCCTTCCTTCTGACCAGTTATACTTTAAGACCTACCCTCTCAACCTTCTTGCCCTCCTCCCTGAGCTGCCAAACACCATCAGTCCCCTCACAACAAAAACAAAGTTGCTGGAAAAGCTCAGCAAGTCTGGCAGCATCTGTGAAAGAAAAAAACAGAGTTAACGTTTCGGGTCCGGTGACCCTTCCGTTTTCCATCAGTCCCCTCCCCGGCCCATTAGCCAAAGCTGCCCTGACTTCTCTGTCTCCAGAATGCATTCAGCCCATCAGCAGTCCTGAAGCACCCAATACAAAGTGCTAGGATTCAATTGGGCCAGCAGCTCCCGAGAGTGGGATCTCCTTGCAGTTAGGGCTGAAGGGCCATAAAGGGCCATAATCTATCATGTTAGCCAGGACATAATTCTTTAAAGATGCAAGGCAGACACCTTTTGGGCCTGTTAGCCAGCCACCAACTCTTCTTGCCAGGATTTGGTATTTAGTGGGGTGGAGTTGGGGTGGGAGGATGGTGGAGAATTACGCCCAACATATGGCAACACAACTGGCAATAAAATGAAGTTTACAATAGCATTTGCATTTCAATTTAGGCTCAGGATTAATTCCAAACCATCTGTTTAAGTAGCATTTGGTTCTAATCTTCTGATCAATGTCGAAGTCGATACTTATCAATCATAAAATTGTGCACATACCTGGATACATTTAAAACGCCCCCATGACTCACGCCCCGATCCATATTTCACTATTAGTCATAAGTTTAAAGTTATAGTTATATAATTCACAAGATAGTGAATGGTAAATGTTAATCAATTGCCATGGAATAACCACAGGATTTTCCATTCTTAAAATAATATCAAAACTGAATGAACTCTTTTAGCTACATGTTCACATCACAGTCACATAAGAAATACTTCTGCAAAGTGTTTCTGGGCAGCTTCTGCTTCATTTCTGCTACATTTAAAAAAAAAATTATTTCTCAATAACCTCAGAACATCGAATGGCACTTTGTTCCCACCAAGACTGAGAACTGTTTTCAAAGGAAATGCAGTGTATTCACTGAGTTGCAAGAGCAGAGAGTTACTTCTGTGTTATATTACACTACAGATAGCAAAGATGTGAACAGAATCCCGTACTGACAAGCCAAGAGCAGATTAATTTCTGTGATCAAAGGATTTTAAACAATCCACCATTCAGCCTCTTGTTGAGGACCAGATTAATCACTTTCCAGAAACTGGTTGACATCAATACTCAGATTCATATAAAACAAAACTGATTTCTTGATTAAAGCGTGGGCTATGATTTCCTAAAACTGTAGAAATCTATTTTACAAAATGAAGCATGGATATGCAATAACGGCCAAAGTCCCAACTAGGTTCATAATTTGCTGGGTAATACATTACCGGAGAGTTGCTTGAGGGAGAGCTTCTGAATCCTGGGATATTAAGACTGCCCTAACAAGGATTAATGCTGGGAAAGTTTAAACTCATTTGGCCCGGGGGTAGAAACCAGGAGTTAACATCAGAGAGGAAAAATAAAGAGCACAAAGAACTGGGAGTGACAGGGAGCCCTAGAGTAAGAAAGAGGCATTTAGTGGAATCAGAATGATGTTTACAATGAATTTGTGGTGTATGTGTTTGAATGCATGGAATGGGGTAAATAAGGTTGGTGAACTGCAGGTATGAATAGCCAAATGGGAATATGACGTTGAGGTATTAGCGGAGACCTGACTGAAGAACGTGCAGGACTGGTTAAATTCTCCTGGACAGAGAGAGTTCAGGCAAGATTTGAAACGAAAGGAAAGAGGAATGATGGCAGTATTGATTAAAGCGAGTATTATAATACTGTACTGGAAGTAAAGGATGTGCAAGGTGGATTAAAGATAGAATCTATTTTGTTAGAATTGAGAAACAGTAGAGGTACCATTAAGCTAAAGTATCTACTCTAAAGGCCACCAATTAATGCAAACAAAACAGGAACAAACTCGCAAGGAAATACTGGAGAGGTACAAAAACTAGAGAGTATTGACATTAAAGAAACAAAATCAGAGTTAATGTTTCGGGTCCAGTGACCCTTCTTTAGAGCCAATGGTAGCTAGGAAAATGTCATTTTTTTACGCAGAAGATAAGGTAGGGGGAGGGGCACTAAGGAGTAAACACTAGGTGGAGGTAGAGCCCAAAGAGATAGAAAAACAGTTGGACAGACAAAGGAGTGGATAACAGGCAGCCTAGGAGAATGAATAGCTGCTAATGGGGACTATTAGTGGTTAGCAATAGGTTGTATGTAATAGCAGAACATGTGATAACAAGGCCTGGTGTGTGGGGGTTGGAGTAAGGACCCGGGAGAAGGTGCCTCAAACCCTAAAATTGTTAAACTCAAGGCTGTAGAGTTCCCAAGCAGAAAATGAGGTGCTATTCTTCCAGCTTGCACTGAGCTTTGCTGGAGTACTGCAGTAATCCAGAGATAGAGATGTTGGCCAGGGAACAAGGTGATGTGAATTGGCAGGCAACTGAAAGCCCAGGGTCTTTTTTTTGTGGGCAGAAAGTAGGTGCTCTGTGAAACAGTCACCCAGTCTACGCTTTGTTTCCTCGATGTGGGATTGATAATAATTTTTCCCAAGATAATCATGGTATAAATGAAGAGGGAAAAAGAGTTTCTGAAGTGTGTTCAGGAGGACTTTCTTCATCAGCACATTTCTACTCCAACAAGAGAGAAGGTTTCTGGTTCTGGGGAATGTGTTTGGTTCAAATGTCAGTGAGGAAACATTGGGGGAAGACGACAGTACCATAAAATTTAGTTTGGCAATCAAAATGAACAGGGAGCAATCCAAAGCAAAGACATCTAATTGGGAGAGGATCAATATCAGCAGCTTGAGATTGAACATACCTCAGATAAACTGAAATGGGAGAATAGGTGCCTTTCACAGATTGACTGACTACCATGTATCAACAACCTGCTTCAGTCAGGGTACATTTGATGATTGGTTTGAGTGCAATTGAGTTACATTCCCAAGAAGAGAAAAAGTAGGGATAACAGATTGGAACTTCTTGGGTGACAGATAGCTAAAGTGTAATTTAGGCTGAAGTGCTAAATTAGTACTTTACAAGTAGCAGATGCAATTTAATACAAAAGTGTGAGGTGACGCATTTTAGCAGAAGGAATAGCATTAGGAAATGTGGGCTTAATAGCACAATTCTATGTGCAGATCAAAGGGACCTCTGTTTGTGTACATAGGTTTTTGATGGATATTTTCAGAGAATAACTGGCAAAACAAATTTAATTTTGTACTCATAAATACAAGTACTAAGTACAAAATCATAGAAAGTATGCTGAAACTTTATAAGGCTCTGGTCAGGCAATAACTAGATGATTGTGTTGCGTATTGCTGGCCGTACTTTGTGAAGAATGTGACGCTCTTTGAAAAAGTATGGAGAAGATTTACCAACATAATTCCAAAAAGATGGTGACTTAACTACAAGACCAGTTTGGAGAGTGCAGATTGTTCTCCTCGGAGGAAATATGACTGAGGGGAGACATAATGGAGATGCACAAGATAATGAAAGGTTTGATTTTGCAAGGCATAGGGGACACTGGTTTAATGTTGATTGTAAGAGACCCAGGCATGAATATGAGGAAGAACTGCTTCTTTGCAGCAAGCGGTAATAACCCAGAACTTGCTGCCTGAGAACTGAGGAAGTGAGACAATCAACCATTCCAAAAGGAAATTAGATGAGCACTTGACGGAAATGAATTTTCAGACTACAGGAATAGAGTAGGTAAATAGAACTGATTTGACTTCTCAGCAGAGACCCACTAGCATGAAATTAGAGGGACAAATGGCCTATTTCTGCATTATACTGACTTTATGACAAAAATAAAATTCTTCAAGGGCTTGACAGAGTAGATGCAGAGAGTATAAAACCAGGGACATGGTCACACGATAAGGGTTCATCAGTTAGGACTGAAATTAGGAGAAATGGCTTTAGTTATAGACTGTGGATCTTTTGAATTATTTAAGCTAGGGAGTAGTAGGTACTCCATTATTCAGCTCAGGACTAAGATCAATAGATTTTTGGACACCACAGAAATCAGGTGATTTGGGGATTGAATGGATAATTGGAATAAGGCCAAAGACCAGTAATGATCCTCTTGAATAAAAGTGAGAGGCTAGATGACCGTTGCCTTCTATTTCCTATGCTCTTATGAGAGAAATAACATATCACTCCTGCTAAGCACTGAAGAGTTTCACAATTTGTCTGACGTTATTCATGATTTTTT